CTCACACTTCCTGGCTAGGAGTATAAATTGGTGTAATTTGGGGAAGTCTAGGAAAGATGCAAAGGAACCTGCCCTTTGTCATGGCAATTTCATGTCTACGAATGTGCCCTAGAAGAGTTAACATGAGTGGTACACTTGTGCACAAGATGTCAATTCCAACACTGTAATAGTGAAAAAAATTGGAAACCTGCTTGTGGACCAGGATGGGAGGGAATATATACATATATTGTGTACATTCACACTAGGGGAAACTCTACCACAGTTAAAAATGAATAAACTCAACCCTACATGTATCGACATGGGTAAATTTGTAAAATAATGTTGAAAAAAAAATAGCAAGTAATATGATATGTAAGATTTGATTCCTTGTATGTAATTTTTTAAATACCCAGAGCAGTGTTTTCTATAAGTCTCTTTATTGCTTATGGACCCAAATATTAATGATAAAAGTCTAAAACTATGTGTGGGAATCATACACATCAACCTCAGGTGGTTGTTTCCTCTGAGGAGGAAAGACCATGAGATGGGGGAGGGATATTAGGGAGCCTTCAACTGTGTCTGTCAAAATATTCTGTTCCTTAAAAAAAAAAAAAAAAAAATGAGGGTCAGCCTGTGGCTCACTCGGGAGAGCGTGGTGCTGACAACACCAAGTCAAGGGTTAAGATCTCCTTACTGGTCATCTTTAAAAAAAAAAATGACGTGAAGCCAATTTGGCAAGTTTGGGTGATGGATCCACACATATTCATTTGTATTGTTCTCTGCACTTTTAAGATTTTCACATTTCCCTGATAACTTGTGAATTGAACAGTTTTCATATGTTTATTGTGTGTTGTCAGTTCCCATTTTTCATAACAGTATTAACAGGGCTGGCTGGTTAGCTCAGTTGGTTAGAGCCCGGTGTTGGTAACACCAAGGTCAAGGGTTCAGATCCCTGGACTGGCCAGCCAATGAGCAACAACAACAAAAAATTAACAATGCAAGGTGAAATAAAGAGTTTTTCTAGAAGATGGTGAATGATTTTGCAATGAAGAGATCCCAGGTGGAGGCAGCCTCCAAGCAGGTGGGCATTCAGGTGTGAAGCCAGGGCCAGCCTGGCTGTCATGGAGATACGATGTGGGAGTCAGAGAGGCATGGAGGAGGCTTAGCGGCGGCGATGACAGGGAAGGAGCCCATCATTTGTTTGTTTGTAATGTGCCAAGCACTATGATAAGCATTTTCTATGCATTATCCCTTTTCATCTCCCCTCCAGTTCTATGCGGTAAATACTATTCTTGTCATCCCCATTTCACAGCTGAGAAACACTAGCCTTGGACAAGTTAAGCACCGTGCCTGAGATGACACTGGCAAGTGACACGGTCGAGCTCCAGCTCGAGGTGACTGCCTCCAGAGCACAATGAAGAAATGACATCACTGTGGGCCAAAGACAGGGGCAGACTCCTGCAGGAAGTAGGTTTGAGCAGGCTGTGGGCAGGTTGGCCGGCAGAGGTCTGTGCAGCGGAATCACTGCAGCCTGGGGAGAGATACCAGTAGTCACTCAGACAGGGCCATTTAGAAATTAGTATTGGTATTGGTGTGGCTGATTTTTACAAATGTCCCCCTTGCCTTCTTTCTTGTCCCCCATGTACAGTCATTTGCTGTGGCACAAAGAGGCATAACTCTGGCCTCGTTTCCTTACTCTCTGCATCCAAACTGGCTCTGAGCATATCACTGGCTTCCTGCTGCTGGGGAGACCACTCCCATCTTTGGTTTGATGTGCAAAAGTCCCTTGTGATGTGGTCTCTGTCACCTCTTCTGCCTCATCTTCTCCTTCCTCCACCTGATTTGTGAGCACTTTTCACAGACCGCTGGGGAGGATTCAACAACCCCACCTCTCAAGCAGAAGTAAAGCGCCCACTCTGTGCTCCCAGAGGCCACCTTTTCATACCACTGCCCTCACAGGCTCACCTGAGCTCCTCACTCACACTCTCTTGTCCCTTTGTCTCCAGCACTGGAAGTGCTCAGCACTCAGTAGGGGCTCCATAGGAGGCATCTTACATATCAAACCAGGGAAAGCCAACATTAGAACCTCCCTGCACAGTCAGATGCTACACCGTTTTTGGATTTAGCATCAATCAGGTAAATGACTTAAGGGGGTATGTGTTTATTTAATAAAGGATATCATTGCCCTCTCATCAGAGGCTCCTGGGAACTAGTACCTGGTAAGCCTGTGAAACTGAGCACATTAGAGTCTTCTGGAGTTAAATTTGGAATTGGGATGAGGTAGGAAAAATCTATGCTCATTGAATATGAAATGCAATTGTCTGTCAGTATAGGAACTGAAGAATCTGCAGCAAATTATATTTAAGACTCTATTGTCACAGGCAGATTAGCTAATGCTTGATTTTAAGTATAGGCTTCTAATGCTATTACTCCTGGTTAACTCTGCCTGGCAGGTAACCTTGTGGAACAAATGACTGCATTGCTTGAATAACGTATTTGATCAAACAGGACAATTCTTTCAAAAATTGAGTTCTCTGTGGCAATTTGAGACCTGTAATCAGCAAATTAGATGATTACAGCAGGGATAAAAATAGTCTTCTAACAATGTCCAAGGTATAAATGTGATTTGAATTTCAAAATGTTGAACATGTGGTAGGAAAATGCACGGTTGGGTAAATACGACTAGACATTATCAGATTTGATTTTTCTTTCCATCCCTGCTCTGAGCTAGAGCCTAATTTTGCCCAAATAAACCCCAATCTCATTTGTGTCTGAGTTAGAGGATAAAAGTATATCAGGCACTATGCTCCAAATCTTAAAGGGCTCCGCAGCTTTACTTATCTGCCTCAGGAACTTAAAGTCAGTGTGAATGTCAGCATCATTTATTTATCCACTTGTTATGAAATGACCTCCAGGAAGAAATAAGCCGTCCAAGTTGCACACAGGGCAGATGGCATTGGGAAAAACCTTCAACACCTGCCACCGAAGGAACAGTGTTTTCTTTCTTAGGCACAGTGAGCAAAGAAATGATGCAGCTCTGGTGAGGCTAGTGGGTGCATTCGGTGGGCTGGGCGGGATATGAGGATGTGGTATGTTCTACCACAATCCAGTCAGTCTCCATTGTTGGTCCACAGGTTACTCTGTTACAAAAAAGTTAGACCAAGAGATCCACATCATCTTTCTCTGGTCCTTCCAGCTGACACAGCTTTGCCTCAGAGCGTCTATCTATTCACCTATCAGTGAGCTGCCATTTTTACCCCGATATTGTTGTGGTATCACCTGGCCTCAGCTAGTTTTAGCTGAATAGCAAAACAAAAATGACTCGGCAAAGGGGTATATAGAGCCTACCAGAGAGAGGCCCAAGTTAGCCATGAGCTTATTACTGGCAAATGGAAGAAGTTCCTCTAAGAGAGGAAACTTGGTTTTACTTACTAGTGGTTCTTACGGTTTCTAACAGTCATAGAAATTATTGATTACTATGGATTTCATTTAACCTTCCAGCACTTATTTATTAGCACAGATGACTAAGAGCTCTGCCTATGGCAACACTGCCATTTAAAAATCTTGATTTCCATAAATGCAGCATCCAACGCTTTATATATAAGGGATTCTTATTTCAGCATATTCAGTAACAACCTCTGTAATATAATGGCTTGCTAAACAATCTATGAATTAATATTTATTCAAATGTCTTTTCAAATTGGTGTTACTTCCCATTTGTCCAGCTCTCAAATTTATAATAAAACTTTAGAATAGAAATGTTTTCAGTGCCATATTTTTGCATAGAAGATGCAAAATGCAAATTAACTACTTTTAGGATTCTGCCAACTCACAAATGAACACCATTAAAAATTCACTGCTTTTTAAGGCAAGATTATCTCTGCCCGAGATGAAGAGATAACTAGCTAGGAGTTATATCCTTTGACTAAATACATGTACATTTATAATGCTTTTATTATGAAAACTGTATTAACACTTACCATAACTACAATATCAATGTCATAAAGTAGGTCTCTTCAACTTCATACAAATATAGTACAGATTTAAAATGGCCTTTTCGGGCCGGCCCGGTGGTGCACTGGAGAGTGCGCTGCTTGGGAGTGCGGCGGCGCTCCCGCTGAGGGTTTGGATCCCATGTGGAGACCGGTTCCGCTCACTGGCTGAGCGTGGTGCGGGCGCAACACCAAGGGTTGCGAGCCCGTTGCCAGTCCCCGGTACGGGCGCAACACTGAGGGTTGCGATCCCGTTACTGGTCAGTAAAAAAGACAAAAAGGAAAAAAAAATGGCCTTTTCTTTCTACTTTAGACAGATTTTTGGAAAATGAGATAAAATACCAAGTTGAAAGTAAGTGGTTATTTATTTGGTCATTCACCATTCCTTGAATGTACACGCATGATGAAGCATTATTAGGACTTGACAAGACCACCACTTTGAGAATGTTCAACAAAATTTGATGTGATCTGTACACATTAGGCCTTCAAGTGGACAGTATTAATTAGCAAGGCACTTGGTGATTCCATCAATGGTCAGGGAACAGACTGTTTACTGATACCATGGCTTTGAGCCACATATAATTTTACTTTGCATTTTCTTCTTAAAAGCATAGTTTTAGGCTACTATGTTAACAAGTTCTCCAAACAAAAATTCACTTATTTTTTAGGTTAAGATTTCGGTATGGGTGAAAAGTGTATTAAATAACACTAATTAGATTCTTTATGACCTTCAACAGTCCTAGGGAAGAAATTATACCTAGGAACCTCTTAGATGTGGAAATGACTTCACCAGTGAACCAGATGTTAAAAGCCAATTACTTGCACAGGGCATTGTGAGAAAAACTGAAGCCTCACTCCAAGGTTAGGGGACCTCAGGAGGCAGACAAGGCTGCACCTGAAGCTCACTTCAGAAGTTTTCTTTTAAATGTATTTGCTTGAAAGACTTGGCTTCAAGCATGAAGTCAAAAGAGAACTCAATATAGCCACACTGAAAGCCAACTTCTAACTTAAATTACCAGACATAGCTCATAAAACCAGCTGTCTCAAAGACAGTATTATCTTTATTAAAAAACAGACAGACATAGCAGCACTTACAAGAGTTCATAAAAGGCATTGTACATTATCAACTGATAAGTGTGGAAAGGGCAGGCCCCAGCCCAGCTGGTTGTGTGCTCTGCATCATAATGCATGCTCACAACCACCTGTTCCCCTTCATACGATGCAACCCAGACACCCGAGGGGAGACCAACAGCAACAGTGGAACTCCTCAACTTCAAGCCTTTGTTATTTGTGTGAAGTCAATCAAGTCAAGTATCACCCTCCTTAGCAGCATCTGGAGCACTCATTGGTGTTCTGGAGGTGGCTGGTGTACTTGACCCACTTATTAAAAAAATCTAAGCGTTCAACAAAAAAACACTTCTCCCTGTCCAATGCCATCCACGGAAATACTTCTCTTGTGAAAGAGATACACTCTTCCATTTAAATATCTGTAAAAGCTAATGCATGCCTCCGCTGCAGTAGACAGAAGAGAACTTTGAACAGGTGCTTCTGCACAACTGTCTTTGGTGGAGAATGCTGATGTGGTCACACTGTTCCCTGCTCACTGCTCTGCTTCTTACTGCTTGGTGGAGGGGTGAGGACCCCAGTAGGGGGAGGAGAAATCCTATTTTGTTCAGACAATATGGCTTTCTTTGCTTGGGCTTTGTCCTGTTGACAAGAATAAAAGGGAGAAATGTTAAAATGGAAGAACATATCCTTTGGGCTTCGCTTACTATATGCTTTTTCTATGGGGCTGAGCAAGGGGAAAAAAATAGCAAAAATCTAAAAGTGTCTGGTCTATACGATACTGAGACATAGTATCTATTGACCACAATTTTTCTTTTTCAAGGAATTAAAAGAATTGGAATTTCTCCAGGATATCTGGAACCTGCCTGAAGGAAAGTGAATAGGCTTTTTAAGCAGTTTTAAGAATCTGTGTGGGCAACAAAGATTGAAATAAGTAATAGTACTGACCAGCAAATCCAAGCTGTTTATATGGGTCTGTATGTTGTGTGCATCTTCAGCAGCAACCCCCCTGAAGTGCTTCAGTTTTGAGCTCCCTGTCTCCCTTATAACCATGGCAAAGGGAACCATCCACTTGACACAGTTCTCTATATCGCACCACTGATACCCTGCAATGAAAAGACATGATAGGCTCAATGTGAGGCCGACAACTGGTTTTTAAGTTTAATGTACCTTGTTTGTGAACTCATTGTTAAGCCAACATACCTGAAACCTTTTGCATCAATTCAGATGAAGAGAAATGATACAAGGCAGAAGCAGCAAGTACACCATAAGAAAATTCTAAGCAGCCAACATCCAGGACACAGACATCTAAAAGCTATGAGAAGAAAAGAACACTGAAACAAATGGCCAACACACGTCACTTCTATAGTGACTCACTCTAGCTGTGGGGTAGGTAGCCCTACAGAGGTAATGAAGCTACTTACCTCTGCAATCTGTATGAAGATGTGCTGGGGATACTGCGGCCGTAGCACTTCATATAAGTCATTCAGATATGCAACCTGCATGTACACATTCAGCCAAGACACAATGGTCAGGGGACTTAAACGCCACTTAAGGGCCTAAAGGAATACAGAGAAAACAGACCAAGTTGAGAAAAGAAGCTCAAAACGCAGCCATGTTCTGTGCCACAATGTGTTCAGCTGGAGAATACCTATCAAAGGCACTCACATTTCACATGGAAAAGATATTACGTATGCATTTAAAAAATGACAGAAAAATTTACTTGTAACCTACCTTCATAATCATTAATTCCATGGTAAGAATTTCTTCTCCTGAACAAGCGCCATCTGTAACATAAGCAAACTGGTGCAACTTTGGAGGATAGATTTCCTGAAAGGAAATAAAAGGAAGATATCATTAGCAAAAAGCCAGTCTCTAATAGTTTCAGTTTATAATGTGCATCCAAAATTATCCTTTTTAGCACCCTGGCATAGAAAGAGAGGGTGCACTGATGGAATAAATACAGGAGCCACTCCAGTTGTTCAAAATGTGTTATTGCAAAAGAAATGAAACTCCTGGGCCGGCCTGTGGCTCACTCGGTAGAGTGCGGTGCTAATAACACCAAGGCCCCGGGTTCGGATCCCACATAGGGATGGCCGGTTCGCTCACTGGCTGAGCGTGGTGCTGACAACACCAAGCCAAGGGTCGTGATCCCCTTACTGGTCAAAAAAAAAAAAAAAAAAAAAAAAAAGAAATGAAACTCCTATCCTGACTAAATGAATAAATACATAGAATTTTCACTCTTCATGGATATTTCTGAAATTCTCACCTTTTCAATACCTTTAACAAAATTTTTGAAAGTTGGGCCCATACACTCTTATAATCACACCAAAATTTTAATCTTCTCAGTTCAAAGTTAAATTTTTTTGCTTCATATTTCTACATTAATCTAAGCGTTCTGTACATTCACCACTCCTCTCTCTTCTTGTTAAGTTTCCTGCCTTTTTCGCATTTAATAGAAGGCCTCAAATTAGAAAAATTTAGGATATGTATTATAGACAAATAGTTGGTTTCTTCCCCTAATCTCAGTGGAGCTCAAGAAACAGCATGTATTATGTAACAAATATTTGAAAACTACTTACCTCAAGTTTGGCAGCAATAAATAAAGATGAAATCCCAATAAGCTGTAAAAGTGTCTTTACAACATTGTCTTGTGTAGCCATGTACCGATCAAAGAAATCCTGTGCCAAGTAAAATGTCTCCCTGTGAAGTTTATAGACTTCACAAACCTGAAACAAATATTTAGTAAGTTTTAGAACAGTTACTCGAGGGGAGAAAAAGAACCTTTTAATGAGTTTTGGTGAAGGACAATATAATCAAATCAAAAGACGTGAGAGAGAAAACTGCTTTTCTAAAAGGATAGTTGTCCTTAAGTGCTTGGGCAATGAAAAAAAGAACCTTTTAATGAGTTTTGGTGAAGGACAATATAATCAAATCAAAAGACGTGAGAGAGAGAACTGCTTTTCTAAAAGGATAGTTGTCCTTAAGTGCTTGGGCAATGAAAAACGGGAACTCAGATAAAAGGATTATGTGTTCTATGATCTATATAATAGTAAGAGTGAACATTCACAGGCCAGGGAGGGAAGGTACGGTCAACAGCCAGGTGAAAACAGCATGTTCATGGGAAAAATAAAAACAAAACCAAGAAATACCTAAAACCATGAATTTTCTCAAATAATGTTGTCCCCTCTTTATAAGTTTCACTATGACTTGACAAAAGAACTAACACATTCCCTCACAACTGAGCAACACCAATAAGAACATTTAAAAGCTGGGACACACATTTACTTAAAGACTACAACATGCCCCATACATTGTAAGTCATAAGAGGCAAAAGCTTTTTAAAAAAGCATTAAGTAGGAGGGCAGGGGGAGGGACGTTGGGGATAACTGAGTGGGGGACCTGAGGTACAAATGCAATTTGCAGTAATGGGTATACAGCCAGTAGGAATCTGGCCCCCACATCATGGGCACAAGGGGTGACAGTCAGCTTTGTAGCCCATGAATATTCAGTACCAATAAAAAAAATAAAAATAAAAAAATTAAATTAAAAAATAATAAATAATTTTTAAAAAAACATAAAGCAGGGGCTGGCCAGTTAGCCCAACGGCTAGAGCATGGTACTGATAACACCAAGATCAAGTGTTCAGATCCCTGTACTAGCCAGCCACCCAAAGACCCAGAGTGTATTTTAGGCTCAAACTTGGACAAATCCATTTATCGCAGACAGACAAACTATAAAATTAGGACAATACCTGACTTGCCTACCTCACAGGATTGCTGTGAGAATCTGATGAAATAGTGCACATGATGGGATTTAAAAGGACCAAGAAAATGTTAGACCTCAACTCATTACCATCACCAAATGTCCAATTATGCATATACAACTGTAACAACACTGTTACTCCTAAATGGCATCTCCCCTAAGTGCAATTCACGGGGTTAATACATCGAAAAGGAGCCAGAGAAACAGCACAGAGAATACTGTTAGAAAATTCCATCAATCACCAAAGACTACTTCTAAAGTACAGATTAAGCCATATTTAGCTGTCTGTAGAAACATTCCTTCAAAGTATAATGGCATCTACTGCATTACATAAAATAGAACCTCTCAGTTACAACGTTTTTATAAAAATGAATTGAAGCCTGAGAAATTAAAACATATGTACTGCTCCAAGAAATTATAAAGTATTGCAAAGGAAACAGATGGGCTTTGTGACAAGAGCTGTGTGACATGGAGGGTCTGTGGTGGGCAACTGCAAGACCTATTCTTTAAAAGCAGGTCTGCCAAATAATTCAGTACAGAAAATATCGACGTTTCCAGGGACCAAGGAAGAAATGCAAATTAAAAATGATAACTTCAGGGCCGGCCTGTGGCTCACTCGGTAGAGTGCGGTGCTGATAACACCAAGGCCACGGGTTCGGATCCCATATAGGGATGGCCGGTTCGCTCACTGGCTGAGCGTGGTGCTGACAACACCAAGTCGAGGGTTAAGATCCCCTTACCGGTCATCTTTAAAAAAAAAAAAAAAAAAAAAGATAACTTCATATACACCATTTCTAATCCACACACTCTGCAAGGAAAATATTGTTAGAAATATTACAGATGAGAAAACGAAGACTCAAAGTTAAGAGATGTGCCTGACTAGGTCACAGAGATGGTAAGTGGCAGCAGGAAATGTGATTCTAGTACTAGCATAACCAGGGTATGCATACCCCTGGGAACATGGATTTCTAATGGTCACACAGCACTATCTGTGTATTCTAGGGAATATTTAGACACTCAACTTCCACGTGTACTCTTTCATAAAACGATTCTGCCTGAATGTCCTTCCACTTCAGAGGAAAAGCTCACTTCTCACCTACCCAAGTCTTACAAGGGTGGCCAGGAAGCCTCCCTTAATTGAGGCATTATAAGTCACCCACAGTTCATCCGAGTAAGGGGTGCACTGCTGATAAAATATCACTTTTTATGTTTAACAATTATCTATAATAATTTGCAACAGTTGTTTTTTTGATCAGTTTCGCAGAGAGGTATGACAGTGTGACCAATAAAAGATTTGAACAATATATTTTGTTAGGATAGCATTCTATGGGGAAAGAGAAATGTATTCCAAGAAGTTAAAAAGAACAGTGTAAGATTTGACTGCTAAAGATAAGCTTGTTCATATATTTTTACAATTTATGATAGCAACTATCGAACTGCTGATATTTACATTCCAGTGGATACACTTAAAAGCAATTTAACGAACAAAGTTCAAATACCAATATTTACAATTTACTGGAAAATACAACCTTTGCAATTATTTAAACTTTGATGGAAAAAAATTAGATGCCAACTTTAAAATATTTAAAGGGCAAAGAGATTTTAGAAATTCTTTTAAGAATGCAAGTAAAAAAGTTACAACGACCACTGCAGAAAATATACCAAACAGTTTCAGAGACACAGAATGTGTCAGTGAAATCAGTCACATGAAGAGATCACATAATAGCACAGAGAATCTAGAAACGATCAATGCTTCCAGTGAACAGGAAAACTCAAGCTCACCTCCATTAACCAATCCAGAAGAATTGCTCGCATTTTAGGCTGCAGAAGAGGGTGTCGCTGCATAAAGTGCTTATCTGTTATGTATGTCTTCTCCTTGTTTAACATGATTTTCCAAACCTCCTCTCTATTTGCCCAGCTACAAAAAAAAAAAAAACCCAACTCCACATAAGTGTCAGTATGCATCCATACTAATGAAGGCTAAGTGAGAACATGGAGTAAGAGATATGGAAGCCACGTGGCAGTCAACACTTACTTTAGTATAGGCAGTGGTGAGGCTCTGGGCGGTGCCGACCGAGGCCGAGGCTCGTGTTTAGAATTCGGGTATACTGGCTCATCCGCTTCTTTGTCAGGTGTGGGAATTAAGGAGCAGGGGTCTGCACAGCCAGTACTATTGTCCCAAGGCTGTAAATAAAAAAAACATTTTACTTATTTATTTATTTATTTATGGTTTTTGGCAGCTGGCTGGTATGAGAATCCAAACCCTTGACCTTGGTGTTATCAGCACCATGCTCTCCCAAGTGAAAAAAACACATTTTAAAATGTTTGATGTAAACCAGCTATTTTTACATTCACTGATTTGTAGATTAGCCAGTACTTCAAAAAAAAATCTTCACACTGGAGAGTGATCTCCAGGCCTAAATATTCTGGCCAAGTTAAGACAGAGATGGCATGGTAAGTAAAACCCACAGTAATAACGCCAAGCTTTCATTTAATTTCCATCATTAGCTTAGGGTGTACACAGTAAATACTTTATAAAGCTAGGAAATCAGTAGCATTTTATTCTCCACTTTATTACCCTCATATGAGGTGCCTGAGCAGCAAAATGGACACAGAAGATGTAAGATAAAATGCAAACAGCTCTTTACAAAAAAAAAAAAGAGTACAAATCCATTTGCAGCTCAGTAAGATACTGGGAGTATAACTTCTGAAGTGCTTAAAAAAGATATATTGTGGGATTATTTAGTCATAATTCAAAAATTTGTTTTTTAACAAGTACAACTAACCTACTAAAATTTTTTTGTGGGGGGGGGGGCGGCTGGCCAGTGTGTGGACTGAACCTGTGACCTTGGTGTTATAAGGCTGCACTCTATAAAATTTCTTAAAAGCACAACACAGAATTTCCAATAAAAATATGTACATAGCGAAGGCTGGTTACCTCACTTGGTTAGAGCATGGTGCTGGTAACACCAAGATAAAGGGTTTGGATCCCTTTACCAGCTAGCTGCCAAAAAAGGAGAAAAGTTTACATAAGCACTCCACATTCACAAGTATAAAAGATAAAAAATGTAAATTGGCTGCCATCTTTATTAAAGTCCCCTCATTTTAAAACAAAGACTCATAAATGTGACATCTTTTGGTAGCAGGACTAGCCAAATATATTAAAATATGAGGACTCTTTGTTTTCCTTAACTCAAAGCAAAACAAGAACATCTGCCTAGTTAAAACCAAATCAAGTGATGGTTACATGTAATACTAAGAAGTCTAAGGAGATAAAGTCCAGATACTCCTGAAGATCTTTGAATCCCACCCCCAGAGAGCCCTGTACAGAGTAAGACTCAAATATCTGATAGATGAATAAACTATCAATAAAAACCAAAACAATATGCTTTTCTTAAAGATTTCAAATGCTTAATTTTAATCAATTTTCAATATTTAGAAAAGACTAAGGTAGGCCCGTGGCTCACTCGGGAGAGTGTGGTGCTGATAACACCAAGGCCACGGGTCCAGATCCCATATGGGGATGGTCGGTTTGCTCACAGGAGCCTATGTTTGGTTTGTAGTTATAAAACATGGTGACTTTGCTGAACATATTAGGCAGATAACAATCCCACTGGCATAGTGGCTACCACAGCACACTGGCCACCTTCAGAGAAAGCCTTGGCACTTTCAGTCTAGTGAGAAGAGCAAAAGCTGGATAAAGCTCTTCTCCACCCAGTGTAGAAAGAATTGGGCATGCAAATTATCCACGACAGCTCCTGCCAACAGCTGTGTGAGAAAGACAACTTCCTTTCAGTTTTGGTATCATGTGCTGGTAGCATTTCCTTGACTTCTGAAACAGTCATATTACAACTGCTCTAAGTTGCCCTTCATTCAAGGAGAATGAATTCTAGTTCTGAAGGCATAAGCTGGGTGCCACCCTCTACAGCCAGATGGCTGGTACATCTGAGCAGGCTTTTGGAGATAATCTAACTGGTATCAGTTCCCAACCTGCAGTTCATAGACAAATTAGGTGAACCACAGCAGACAGTTTCCAAAGTTTGCCCTTTTAGGAACCAGTGTATGAGGCAGAATAGTTAAGTCTATGTCCTTTAACTTGAGTGTATACCAAGTTTCAAAGGAAGAAAGATTAGTCTGACTTTATTTAGGATAATAGCAAGAGACCAGTTGTGACTACACCTAACAACGTCTGACTTATGACACTTTTTTTCCTTATGCAAAATTATTTTCTGAGAAGTAATTTATAGTCCAGGATTCTACATCAATAAAAAGGCTGTGACTCATGTAAAAAATTAAACAAAATGGATGTTAAGTAGATTTTAGATAAAAGGGTATTCTTTTCATTATCGGCAGCTGAAAATAAGATCTAAAGGTTCCATGGGGTCTTGATGAAGCAGTTACACTGAGTTTAGTAGCTTGAGGTTGTTGTACTGAGCTGAACTATAATTCCAGAGAACAATTCTGTGTAACTAATAGGCAAAAAGGTTCTGTTATGTCCCCAAATTCTAGCTTCATGAATCTTCTCAGAGAAATAAAGACATTGCTCCATAAATAGATGTATAATTTTTCAGCTATTCACATTTCATAGCTATCAACTCTATGGTCTAGGAATACAGCCACTAGGCCGGCCCGTGGCTCCCTTCTCAGAGAAATAAAGACATTGCTCCATAAATAGATGTATAATTTTTCAGCTATTCACATATCATAGCTATCAACTCTATGGTCTAGGAATACAGCCACTAGGCCGGCCCGTGGCTCCCTTGGTAGAGTGCGGTGCTGATAACACCAAGGCCACGGGTTCGGATCCTATATAGGGATGGCTGGTTTGCTCCCTAGCTGAGCGTGGTGCTGACAACACCAAGCCAAGGGTTGAGATCCCCTTACCGGTCATTCTTAAAAAAAAAAAAAAAGGAATACAGCCACAGTCCTGCCTTAGGATATCCTAGGCACTGCTCAGGTTATCCTTGAGAATAAAAACTACTTTAAAACTCCAAGAAGTCAATATGGATGGCTTTGCTTCATCTCTACTTAGAAATTCCTCCCCAGAAATGCTTATTACTAGGGTCTTATGTGAAGTCACAACTGCTATTGCAAACAACGTGGCCCATAGCTTTGAAGCCCTTCACCTTTCCTGACCACCTACATAGCTATTGCTGACTGCTCTACAAAGTGATGTGCTCTCTATTGCTAATGTAGTTGAGACTTCAATACTCAGGTCAAATACTATTCCTACTCAGCTTTTATCTGTGAAAGAGTCAGAAGGCCTGACTAGCTAGTCTGGAGATACACTGCTTCCCGCTGCTGGAGCCATAACTACAGTCTCCAGCCCTTTCTGGAGGCAAAGAGATAATATAAGCTTTTTCTGTAAGGAACTTCTGATATTATAATGATATCACATTACTTGCAGGAGATTTGGCAGAAACTCCACAAGGAGGGGCAAGAGAAATGGAGTAGTCAATGAAAGTGTGTTGAGACACACATATCATTACACAGAATATTCCACTAATATTCTTGCTGAGGCCAGGTAGAGCCCCAGACAGCACTGATCAATGTAGGTTATTGCTAGATGGGCTGAAACGACTTCCAGGACAAGAAAAGGGGGAAAAGCTTGAAAACCTAAAGAAGACAGAAGGAGGTCCTTAAGCACCATGACAAAAAACAGTGTGGATCGGGGGGAAGTCATTGCTTAAAAACACACAGGAACCTTCCCCACAGTTCACTGGCCTTTAGAGACAAGGTTATCAGCCCAACTCTGCCCCTAGCTTGCACAGGACTCTGAGTTACTTCTTCCTCTGAGTCTCAGTTTCCTCATGTGCAAAAGGAATTCAGTTATTTGATGTCCACGTTGGTTCTTCCATGCATCAGTGTGCATTTGCAATCTCAGAGGGTGCCAGTCGAGAATACAAGACCTTCTTGGAATTCCAAGCCTGGCAGAGGCCAGTGCCCACTGACACGCACAGCGCACAGCCATACGGACTATGGCTGTAGTTAGAGAAACTTAACTAACCAGAGTGTCTTTAGCAGGAGATAAGAGAGCATGAAACCCAATCTGACCCAGAGAGAGCAAGAGGACCTCCATGTAGGCCCAATCAGCAAGCGTACTTACCTCCTTACCACACTGGCCTCTTACAGTCCTGTCAATTTTGGCAATTTCTTCATCTGGATCCTGCAAAAACTAACGTAAAACCCCCACACCCCAAAGAAACATATCGAACAAACCAAGACAAAAAACAGAGAGAAGAAAAAGTTGATTAGGTTATGGACACCACTTCTGCCAAAAAGACCCCCCCACTAGCCCCCTATCAATAAATACGGGGGCAAAGCCAACTCTGGTACCCAGGTAAGATGCAGGGGGTGGGGAATTCTCTCCAACCTGTCTCCTTTGTACTCACCACGGCCACGTTTGCCTTCCTTTTCCTGGAACGAACAGAGAAATCGGTGCCGCCTTCTTCTTTCATGGTGTCCCGTTCCTTCGCATCTCTGCAAAGCCAGGGTGGCACAGAGGTAGGGGTGAGTTCTCCCCAAATCTCGGCCCGCCCCTCCCCCACCGCTGCACACCCTTCCCTTCCCCGTAGCGACCAGGCCACTCACCTCTCCCTCCTTTCCCTCGGCATGGCGCAGGTCTCGGACTCCGACTTCAGGCCTGGGGGGCACGAAGCGGGAAGCGGGGTGAGGACGGCCAGGGCTCGCCGGCCTGCCCCGGGCACCCCTCCCCCTCCCGCGCGGGCGGCGGCGGGAGCCTCCTGGGCCGGCCGGGAAAATGGCCGATGGGCCCTGGGTGGCCTGTCACCCGCGGCGCCTACGGCAGCCCACGATCCCGAGTCCGAGTTCGGGGTGGGGGAAAGGCGCCGGATGCCTCCCCAAACCCCTGCCGGCCCATCGCCTCCCTTGGGGCCGGGGCTGCCTCAGTCTCCCCCTCAATACCTTCCCGTAACCCGTCTCTGAACCATCCCACCCGGAGCACCCCGCGCTGACGTCTCCAGGACACGGCGACCCGGCGACCTGAAGACCCGGCCTCACCCCACCCCCAACCCAGCCCGGCCCGGGTGCTCTGGGAATCCTCGCCCGCGGCGCCCGACCCGGCAGCCCGCGGCGGGGTGCTTACCCAAAGCCGTCTCCACGGCAGGCAGGCGCGCACGAGCCAAGGCAGGAGGCAGGAGGCAGGAGGCAAGAGCGAGCGGGAAGCCGGGAGGCCGGAGGCGGCGGCGGGCCGATCGCGCGGCGGTGGCGGGATCCGCGCCTGCCCCCTACACCGCGCTGGCGGCCGAGCCGGCTGCTCCTGCGCCCGGCTTAGAGCGGGACATTTAAAATCCCTGCGCGCGGAACCGGCCCCGGCCCGCCCTCACGCCCCCCCAGCTCCCGGGAGGCCCCGCCCCGCCCCGGCTCCGAGCCCCTCAGCGGCCGTCCGAGGGCCCGGGCCCTGCTGTACCG